CAGAGAAGGAGACTCCACAGCCTCCCTGGGCAGCCTGGGCCAGGGCTCCGTCACCCTCAGAGGGAAGAAGTTCTTCCTCATCTTCAGCTGGAGCTTCCTCTGCTTCAGTTTGTGCCCGTTGCCCCTTGTCCTGTTGCTGGGCACCACTGGAAAGAGTCTGGCCCCATCCTCCTGACACCCACCGTGCAGATATTTGTAGGCATTTCTAAGGTCCCCTCTCAGCCTTCTCTTCTCCTCTTCTCCTCTTCTCCAGTCCCAAACTACACGCTTCTCATTCATTGAGGAATTTCCCATCCCTGTTAGCCCCACCATTATACAGTTTTCCAGCAGGCTGGGAAAAGCGATAGCCTCTTACGCTGCCCTTCCAGCTCTTACACCGTTAGATCAATAACCAGGCAAGTTCCAGCTGGACTGTGGGTCCAGCTGGAATGAATGGAATTCAAAATAAAACAACTACAGCTCTTCAGAAAGAGTAGTAGAGCGGAGCTTGTGAGAAACGAGCACTTTAGCACCTTTGTAAAAGGACACCGAAAAGTAATTGTAAAGATTTTCTTGTCAAAGTGGGACATACACTTCCTCTGTTGGATCTAGGAAAATGTTAACTAACTATTCCTGTCGATAACTGCTGATATTAAAGTGAAGAAATGTAATGATGATGCATTGGGTTGATGGTTAAAACGCAGGAAGCATTTGGAAGAGTTAAGAAAAACACGGGTAACGGGCAAACTCTACCTATAGATGTATAGGTCAGGTAGATCTACGATGTGATCTCTCAGAAAGAAGCGTAGGAACGGTGCAAAGTCAGCAGCCCGTGGTTTTGCCAGCGGAGCAGGGACAGACATGAAAATGAGATACTTGTCATGCTCGGTGTAACAGAACAGTTCTGTCGATTCACCTTTGGCATGAGGTAGATGTGCTGTCTGGCGATAAACCGTTAGGCTGTCTCGTTAGGCTCTCTGCTCTCAGGCCACCGAGGCTGTAGCGCTGCCACGTCCGACAAAGCCCCAGCAGGTGTCGGAGATGGAGAGCTGGGCACGGCTTCCAGAGCTCGGGACAGATGGCTGAGTGGAACAGAAGTCTGCAGCTCACGATGGAATACTTTTATATCTCTGGTGGGAGGCTCCAGGCAACCTAACAGAACCCCAAATACAGCAGGATGCTGCAGAAAAATGCTTTATATTCCCAGTTTGGTCATGTCTTAACAGAAAATTAGTTTATTTTTAGGCGAGGGGAACATTCCTTCTCCAGGTGTGCCTTCCTTTTTCAGGTGGGACATAAGCTGAATGTCAAAATTAGGTTTTCTTTAAAGGAGAATAAGCGGTAATCTTAGCAAATAGAAGAACTTACGTAAGGATTGGGTTCATAATTTGCACCTAGCTGCATGCCTGAGACGAAAAATGGATCATGTTTCCTGCCAAAATAACTGAGACCTGTCAGATGGTAGCTTTTGCTCTAAAGAGAGTAGATGCAGCCTCACCCAAGAGCTTGCTCCCAGATGAGGAGGAGTGATTATGAATTATGCAGTTGAGAATGGACTGTAGAAAACAGGCTGACATTTTTTATCCATCTGTATATCCCTGCAGTCTTTTGACTTTCATTCAGAGCTGTTTCGTGAGCCTTCTGTGGAATAAGGCTTTGAGAGACTGGGCTCAGAGAGTTTGGATGAAATATCAGTAATTTTTCAACTGGAGAGAAGGCAGCTGCCCCACAAGACCAGGACTTTATTTATTTATCAAGCTCTATACCAGCACGGGGTGTGTTGCAACAGACTTCAGCTGCTCAGGGCCAAAGGGAAAACCGTGTAGACCAGTGGTCTCCTGGTTATGTGTAGGAACAGCCCTGAAGACCATCACATGCTTGTTGGCCAAGACAGAACCATCTGGACAGGATCCTGGTTGGACAGTGCGGGCACACGAGTAGTGATGAACTGAAGCACGAAGAATTTACTGTAGACTAAACTCAGGCAGCTGAGAGCTGCCCCAGGAGACTTGCCACCGGGCAGGACAGCTACTGTCAGTGTGTAAGAGCACAAGGGACAGGGCCAGCGTCACGGTGCACCCTTCTAGTGCGGCAAGCGTCCTGCAGAGCAGTAGTTAAAGGCAAGGCAGTTATGAAAGGCGTTGTACAACCAAGTAGCCGACTGCAGAACGACAGCGTGCTGCCAGCAGCCCTGATCCCGGGCTGGTGAAGCTTAGGAGGGGCTGAGCAAGGAGTGAGGAGAAACGAAGAATGGGGGAGCGGCATCGAACAGATCCACGGCGTCAGCGGGTGTGAGGGCAACTCAGCCATGGGAGTAGCTGAAAGGGGGTTGGAGTGAGGTGGGGGTTGGTCTCTTCTCTCAAGTTAAGCGATAGGGCGAGAGGCAATGGCCTCAAGTTGTGTCAGGGGAGGTTCAGATTGGATATTAGGAAAAATTTCTTTACT